ACGCGTGGACTCTGGAGAGAAGCCTCGAAGAGCTTCCCTTCCTTGCTCACTCTCAGATACACCCATTCCACGCAAAGCTCTGATCTGTGTGGTGCTGGAAATGTGCATGTATCTATGTGTACACATACACGCACACATTCATTTGCAATATGGATATGCAATTAGACATCCATACGCATCACCGCTTAACACACATATATAGATATTCATTTGCACTATGAATAAGCAATTATACATCCATACACGTCATACATCTATGTTACTTCTTTTTCATCCTCAATATATAGATAAATACAGAGAAACGTCCACAGTCAGAACGTGTGTGCCTTGTATAGAGAATTTTACAATCACATTACGAATTATTTCAAAATCTATTGCAAATGTTTTCGAAGTAATAAAGCCGTAATACAGATTATTTTAGGAGAGGAAACACAGATCGAGGGGTTCGTATTTTAAGGTTGAGAGCATTCAAGAAAAGAAGCCTCTGTTCGTGGGGTGTTGTTTCTTTTGGGGAGGATTTCTCCTCCCTCCGTAAAACAAAACCTTCTATGCATAGATGAGATAGATACATAGATAGATAGAGGGATTCCCAGTGTCAAGGACTCCTAGGACTCGAAAGAGATGCTCCGCCACTAAAAATAGTTTTTTTAAAAATAGGGAAACACGAGAAAGGAGACCCAGCTTTTTTCAAAACAAACGCCTACTAGACATTTTTAAGCCTGTATCATTTTCTCTCAGTTTCTGGTACCAATAATTCCATTTCTCAGCTACCACAGAATTATTATTATTATTATTATTATTATTATTATTATTATTATTATTATTATTCCGCCCCTTTCCTCGCTTACAAAAATAAGAGACAATCCTGAGAGGTTTCCTAAAGGCCTTTCCTCCTTCTCTCGCCCATTCTCTCTCTCTCTCTCTTCCCCGGCCCCCTTTCTTTGGGGGGAAATGCAAGACCCATAGTTCAAGAAGAGACCAGATCTCTGTGGGACGTGGGCTGGGAGGGGATAGTGGGACTGCTGGGAATACCAATCCCTTCATTCCGCTCTTCGGATCCGAGCCCTATCTCTAGTTAGTTTCCTACTAGACCCATTGGATTCTTGGGATTTCCACGGACTTGGGATTTCCTCTTGTGGGGGAATTCAGGAGAGCTGAAGTTTGACTAACACTGCCTTATCATACAGTTTAAATCTGTCATTATAGACGCATTTAATGCGGTTCAACGACGATATATAGGTCTGCGATGACCATATAATGCCGATTCAAACGGCATTCTACAGCAGCGAAGATCCAGCCTTAAAAAGGAGGCCGGAGAAGGCCTCGATTGTCCTGGATGGAAAGCCCAGCACTCGCTGGTCTCCCGAGGGAAAGAAAGAGCGGCCCTTGTTGCGGGGTGGGCTTTTTTTATTTTTTCCTTTTTTAATTTTCCATTTGGAAATGGGGGGAAGGCGCCTGGGCTGGGAGGTGTCCACTCTGACCGGACCCTTGAAACCGGCGCTGACAGCTCAATCACTGCCCCAGCCGCCATCCAGCCCATCAAAGTGGCTTTTCGGTGTTTTCCAGGCGAAGGGGGGGGGGGGGTCAACGAGGAGATGGCGGGTGCTGATAGAGGGACAGGAGGGATCAATGGCTGGTCCGGAAGAAGGGAGGAGGGAGAGAGAAGAGAAGGAAGGAGATGAAAGGAAGGAAGGACAAAGGAAGGAAGGGAAAGGAGGAAGGAAGGAAGGAAGGGAAGGAAGGAAGGAAGGAAGGAAAAGGAAGGAAGGAAGGAAGAGGAAGGAAGGAAGAAAAAGAGGGAAAGAAAAGAAGGAAAGACGGAAGGAAGGAGGGAGGAGAGAAAGGAGGGGAAGGAAGGAGGGATGAAAGGAAGGAGGAAGGCGAGAAAAAGAAGAAAGGAATGAGAGAAGGAGAGAAGAAAAGAAAGGAAGGAAATAAAGGAGGGGAGAAGGAAGGAGGGATTATAGGAAGGAAGGAAAGAAGGAAGGAGAGAGAAAAAGGAGAAGGAAAGAGAGAAGGAGAGAATAAAAGAAAGGAAGAGACGAAGGAAGGAAGGGGAGAAGAAAAAAAGAAGAAAAAAGAGAATAAAAAAGAAAAGAAAAAAGAGACGAACGGAAGAAGGAGGGAAGGAGAGAAAGGAGGGGAGAAGAAAGGAGGGATGATAGGAAGGAAGGAGAAAAGCAAAAGGAAAGAAAGGAAAGAGAGAAGAGAGAAGAAAACGAGAAGGGGGAAAGGAGAAGAGGAGGAAAGAAAGAAAAGGATGAGGAAGAGAAGGAGAGGAGGAGGAAAAAGAAAAGGAAGAAAGTGAATAGAGTAGGAAGATAAAATGAAGGGTAGGGTAGGAAGGAAAGAATAGGAGAGAAGGAAGAGAATGAAAGAAAGAAGGAAAGGAAGGAAGGAAGATAGGAGTGAATGAATGAATGAAGGAAGGAAGGAGAGAAGGAAAGGGGGAGGGAGGGAGGGAGAAAGCAGTGCCGTCCTAGGCCAGCTAGAGGAAGAGGCCTGGGGCGCTTTGGAGCTCGTCTTCGCTGGGCTCCAGACTCCCTGTTTGCTTCCTTCCTCCATCCATCCATCCCTGCTCTCCTCTCCCTCCATCTCTTCGCAGCCTGTCTTCCCAGCCTCCCGCCTCAGGGCCGGGCCTCCGCTCGGGCGAGCCTCGTGGCTTGGCTCTGGCCCCGGGGCAAAGACGGGGAAAGGTTCCCCTGGCCTGGCCTGGCCTTCCTCCCTTCGCCAACCCTCCTGCTCTCCTTCGGCTTGGAAATCCTCCCCGGAGCGGCCTAAGGAGAGGAATGAATCCAAGGCCGCTCGGTCCCTTTTCTCGGAAAGGGAAGACGAAAGGCCGAAGGAAGCCCCTTCAGGCTCGGAGGGAGACGGCAGCCAAGGCCCCGGGGCCTGGATTTTCCTTCGCGAGAAAAAGACAGAAAGAGCCGAGGAAGATGCCTCGGCTTCCTTGGCGGCGGCGTCCTTTTCCTTCTCCGTTTGGTCCTTCTCTCTTCCGCCATACACACACATCCAAGCCCCCCTTCGCTTTCTCTTTTTCGGCCCTTTCCTAGCACACAAGGCCCTTTCGGAGCTCGACCAAAATAGGAAAAGGCAGCACAGGAGAGGCCTCCGTCGGCAACGGCGCCTCGGCAAGAAGCCGCCCCGACCCCTTGAAATCAAAAGCCTTTCTAATGGTGATTATGGGGGTGATGATAGCCAGAAATGTAGACTGATAAGAGACAGATAAATAATAGTTTTCGAAAATAAAAATACGGCTTGGTTTTCTTCCTTTGGAATGAAAAATAAACAACCCCACACGCACACAACACTATTCCTGGGCCTGAGAAGGGACCAAGGGCCAAGATCCCTCGTCCTGATTCTCAATACCTTCCTCAATGCGGGAGTCTCATTAATCTCAAAGCCTTAAAAAGCCTCTCGGGTCACCTCAACACGCTTCGAAAAGGCAGAAGCCTGGACATATATATTATTATCTATTAAATAAAGTATTGTGATGGATATATTAAATATGAAAAGGCCTGCACCCGGAACAAGGAAGGAGTCGTAGCTTGGAAATACGAGGGATTTGGTCTCCGTCTCCCGAGCAGATCTTTGCATGGAGCGTTTCCCCGTTGGGCCTTCTCAAGCCATCTATTTTAACTGGGTTGCTGTGAGTTTTCCGGGTTGTAATGGCATTCTCTCCTGACGTTTCGCCTACATCTATAGCAGGCATCCTCAGAGGTTGTGAGGTCTCTATGCACCCACTACATTGTCGTCTTTGTTGTGGTTAGAGTTTGTTGTCGAGTTTCCAAAAGACCTCACAACCTCTGAGGATGCCTGCCATAGATGTGGGCGAAACGTCAGAAGAGAATGCTTCTGGAACATGGCCATACAGCTCGGAAAACTCACAGCAACCTAGGGACTCTTGCCATGAAAGCGTTCGACAACACATGTATTTTAAAATTTCAATTTAAAGCCTTTAAAAAAAAATCTACAATGGCGGGGAAAGCATTGGCCTCTAAAGTCATTTGATGCTTTTTTTTCCAACCAGTATTCTGGAAAATGCTTAGGAAATCCTGGATCGAGTGTGAGGCCCCGAAAGTGATGGCACAAACTGCAAAGCAGTGATGCGTATGGGCTTTCTTGTGTTCATTCCTCTTTTTGGTGGGAGTTTGAAAATAGCTACGAATGGCACTCAATGGTTAGTCTAAACGGGGCCCTAGTGAGCACAGCTTTGTCTAGAAGACGGTCTTCCCTTTTGCATCCCTTTTGCATCCTTTTTGCATCCCATGGGTCTCTTCTATGATACAGATCCTTCTTAAAAGAAGAATAAATGCATAACAAGGGCGTGTGGACGCTACCTCTCAACCGAGCCCTGAGACCCGGGCCATCGTGATAAACTTGGGAGGAAATAAAACAGGTTGAAAAGGGCAAAACTGATGGCCAAACGAACCCGATTGCAAAGGCAGCGAGAAAAGATTTAGGACCCTTCCATTCAGCCCTATATCCTAGAATAACAAGACAGAAAATCCCACATTATCTGAGTTTGGACTTTGGGGCCTTCCACACAGCCCTATATCCCAGAATAACAAGGCAGGAATTCCCATCAGATAACCCAGTTCAAAGCAGATATTGTGGGATTTTTCTGCCTCGATATTCTGGGAGATAGGGCTGCGTGGAAGTGCCCTTGGACACTCTCTAATCCAGGGAAGGAGCAGGATGGGCAGATGGCGGAGTGGCCTTGTTGTTTCTTCTTTGGGGCTCCCCCTTTTCAAGTCAACACCCCACAGGTCTCCTCGGGGGCAAAATGAACTTGTACCCCCGCCCCCCACCGGTGACAAGGACAGGACTCAAAGGCAGGGAGGGAGCGGGAAGGGCCAAGCAAGCAGGGTGCCGGGAAGGGGGAGGCCTGGCTCGGTTTCTCCATGGGGGCTGGAGGCGAAGGGGCGAAGCGAGCAGGGCAAGGAAGGGAAGGGGGAGGCGAGGGGCGAGGCGGGTTTTCTCCGAGGAGGGATTCTTACCGGAGGACGGTCGGTCTGAATACCTCGTGCAGTAAACCCAGGCCGGCCAAACCAGCGGCTGCTTCCCGTCGCCCTTGGCCCCCACGGCGGACCCTCCATTACTGGAGCCCATGAGCAGGATGGCCGGGTTGGCGTGCTCCCCATAGTTCGCCGGGTGAGGTCCGCTGCCTTCCGAGCAGCAGGAGGAGGAGGAGGAAGAGGAGGAGGAGGAGGAAGAGGAGGAGGAAGAGGAGGAGGAGGAGGAAGGGGGCTTGGCGGTGGGGCTGGCTTTGGAGGCGGCGGTGGAGCCGATGGCTGAGGGGCCCGTCTCTGACTCCGTGCTAAGGAGCACCGAGGAGGAGGAGGAGGAGGAGGAAGAGGAGGAGGCCGGGTTGGGGGTCCTGCCCCCCAGCAGTGGGTTGACGTTTTCTCTACCTGAGCTGCCCGCGCGGTCTAGGTCTCTCTCCCGGCCTCCTCCTCCTCCTCCACTTCCTCCTCCTCCTCCTCCTCCTCCAGAGAGGATCAAGAGCTGCTGCTGCTGCTCCTTCTTGCAGCCAAAGTCCGGCCTCAGGATGTTGTCGATGAAGAAGTTGGTGGTGCGTTGTGGCGGAGGAGGAGGAGGCGGCGGCGGCGGACGTTGTTGCGCTTGGAGGGCATGCTGGTGGTGCTGGTGGTGGTGGTGATGGTGGTGGGGATGATGATGGGCCACCGAGACGAGGCAGGGCGCGGCGGCGGGAGACAAGGGCGGGTGGCCGCTGCCCGTGCTGCTGGGAGAGACCGGGAGGCTTTCCCCATCGCTGCTGCTGGTGCTGCCGGCGGTACTGGTGTTGCTGGTGGCGCTGCTGGTGGTAGTGGTGGTGGTGGGAGCAGGCTCTCGCTGGCTTTTAGGGTCCGCCTGCTCTTCCATAGTCAGCCGCCACCTCCGCCGGAAAGCGCCAGGCTTGGCTCTGTCTCTCTCTCTCTCTTTCTCTCTCTCTCTCTGTATTTCTGTTTTCTTCCCTCCTTCTCCGGACGGCAGTGGTGCTGATTTCTTCTTCCCCTTGCTTCCAATTCAATTGTAAGCTTCGTCTTCAGGGAAAACAAAAACAAAAGCACCGCCCGAGTGTCCAAGGCAAAACCAAATCCACTTGTTGGCTCGGAGCAGGGGGTCTAGAGAGAGATATCCATTTGGAGCGATTCGCTCCCTTTTTTTGCAGTTATATTTCTCTCTCTCTCTCGCTCTCTCTCTCTGGGCTCCCCCTTTCTCCCCAAAAAAGGGAGGGGGGCTAAAAGAGGGGAAGCAAAGACCACCAGCCCCCCCTCAAAACCCCGCCCCCTCCCCCAAAGTCTTCCTCACCATCGACCCATCCTCTGGCGGGGCTTTCCCCCAAGTGTCAGGCTCGGCTTTGCCCGCGGAGGAGGAGGAGGATTTAATCGCCGGATCGCACGTGCATTCCGTATTTTTAATCCTTCTTGTTTTTCCTCCTCCCTTCCTCTTCTACCTTCTCTCCTTCCTCAGCCCCTGAATCTACACCCCGCCTTCAATCTTTCCTTCCTTCTGCGCTTCGCCTTAATATATATTTATATTATATATATAAATAAAGGCAAACCCCCCCCCGCGCGCCAAAAAAAAAATCTCTGACAGCTCCGATCTTGCCACAAACTCTCCCTAAAAAAATCGCTCAGCCACACTTTTTTTCCTTTCCAACCGGAAGCACGTGAGGATGGCCCGCACGTGGAAAGGGCCAATCAGGAGCAGGGGAATTCTGTGACGCCCCTGACGTCAGCCAATAAGCTGCCTCGGAACTTTGCAGATAGATTAGCCGAGGGGTTTGGCTAATTCCGAGAGAAAGAGAAGGAGAGGTTTCTAATACTCTCCCTTTGGCGCATCCTTTGCTCAACACACTCTCTCTCTCTCTCTCTCTCTCTCTCTCTCTCTCTCTCGCCTTTGCCTTCTTGCCCAGGGAAGATCTTTGCATTTGAAGCTCTTCTTCCCCAATCAAGGAAAATAAAAATATGTCCAATCAACGCCACAAAGAACTTTTCCAAACTCCGAGAGAGAACTTGTATGTATGCTTGTGTGACTTCTGTGCATAATAATAATAATAATAATAATAATCACATCTAATAGAAGCCTTCCTCTTTCCCCTCCTCCTCCTCCTCATTCATTGCAAAATGTTACAACTAAAGTTTTTATACTTAAGGAAAAATATATCCTTGGGGATATAGGGCGGCTTATAAATAAATTATTATTATTATTATTATTATTATTATTATTAAGTGCCTTTATGTGAAGCAAAACATATTCTTGGGGAGATAGGGAGGGTTATAAATAAAATATTATTATTTCTTCTATTATTATTATTATTATTATTATTAAGTGTCTTTATGTGAAGCAAAACATATTATTGGGGAGATAGGGAGGGTTATAAATAAAGTACTATTATCATTAAGTTTCCATATTTGAAGAAAAATATATCCTTGGGGAGGTAGGGAGGGTTATAAATAAATTATTATTATTATTATTATTATTATTAAGTTTCTATATATGAAGCAAAACATATCCTTGGGGAGATTGGGAGAATTATAAATAAAGTATTGTTGTTGTTATTAAGTTTCCATATTTGAAGAAAAATATATCCTTGGGGAGATAGGGAGGGTTATAAATTATTATTATTATTATTATTATTATTATTCTAAAGTGTCTATATTTGAAGAAAGATATATCTTTGGGGAGATAGGGCCGGTTGTAAATAAAGTTGTTGTTGTTATTATTATTATTATTATTATTATTAAACCAGCGGTGGCCGGTTGTGCGCTCTTTCTAGACCCAATCCGTGACATTCCTTTGTGAGTTTAATGGTTGCTCAAAGCCCAAAGACTACATTATATACCTAGGCATATGTGGACCTTAGAGGAAGCCCCTTTGAAACCAGAGGAAGAAAGGTATGGAGGAGTATGGGCAAAAAGAGATCTCAAGCTGGCTTGTGACAAGTCTATGCACTCACTAAAAGCCCGAATTTCCCAGTTCGACTGGTTTTCAAACGAGGAAATGTATCCGAGAGCATTGGGCAGTGTTTTGAGCTTTACATTGCAGCTCTGGCGGCCAAGGTTTGAATCCCCCTCGACTATGGAAACCCACTGGGCAAGTCACACTCTCTCGGCCTCAGAGGAAGGCCTGAACACATCTCGCCAGAGCAAAACCTACGAGAGGACCGCCATAAGTTAGAACTGACTTCAGGGCACATCGCAAGAATTGCCTGGGTTCCTCTGAGCTGACAGTTCGCCAACACAGCCTTGACCACTGAGTCGTTCAATGGGTTCTTCGCTCAGCACACTAGAGAATGAATCCACTTAAAACCCGGTTTCTGCTTCCTGCAGAATTCTGGGGTTTGTAGCTTAGTGAGGCTGTTAAAGTCTACTTCCCTGAACTACAAACCTCAGAATTCTGCAGGAAGCAGAAACCAGATTTAAAGTGGATTCATTCTCTAGTGTGAAAGGTTCTTGTCGTTTCCTTGCCTGCCATTGAAAACAATCGGCATGGAGCCCGTTTCGTTTTGTCGTGCTCCCTCTGCAACGCCTGGGGTGAATACCAAGCCTCGGCCCTTTCCAAGAGCGGCAGCCCTTCTCTTCCATTCGATTTAATACCTGAACAGGTGAGCTTGGAAGGAGCCCGCGAATCCTTTGCAAGGGAAGGACCTATTTAATAACATTCTCCCCCAAACCTCGGTCACCAAACCCAGCGAGGATGAACTGAGGACTTTAGGCGACGCTGAGCGACTAGCACCCAAACCTCTCGCCCTCCAAAACCCCGCAAACCCAGAATCAAAACTAATAATCACACTAATCCGGACCATCCTAGAGTGAGTTTATTCAGATTCTAAAACAAGCTAGATCTGCTGTTGTTTCTTGGCGGCGCAGAGTTCTGCAACAAGGCATTCACCTTGAAGGCTGGTACCGCTCTTCTTCTCTCTTTTCCCTCTTCTTTTTTGTCTTCCAAGGCGGCGAAAACGGTTCCTTCTGCAAAAATACTCTTTTTCCAAGACGGGTATTTTGTCTTTCTTTTTCCCCTTCTGTTTATGTTCCAAAGAGGCTATTTCTTGGAACCTGGAGGATATTCTTCCTTTTTGAAAGGCTCACCGTGCACTGTTTGCAAAGGCCACGGCGAACATCACACCGTTCAGGAAGATCGCAACTGGGTTGCTTGTGAGTTTTCCAGACTGTACGGCCATGTTCCAGAAGCATTCTCTCCTGACGTTTCGTCCACATTTATGGCAGACATGCTCAGCTCTCTGCGAGGATGGATGGGGTGGTTTTTCCTTTCTTTCTGTTTTCACAGGCGTCACACTCTTCGCCGAAGCGCCGGGGTGGCGATTTATGAGTGGCTTCTTTCCCAAGGCCTCCACGCCGGTTTCAGGGGTCCATAAACAGTCGTGGGTGGAAGAGGAAAGCCCATCCGAAGCTGTTTGCCTGGTGGAAGAGGAAGAGGAGGGGGAGAGGAAAACCTCTGCACCACGTGACCGGCTTAATAGCCCCCCCCCCCCTTCCTAGTTTAGAAATTGATTTGTAATTGACAATTCGGGCCCTTTCCATTTTGTGCTTCTTGCGCCTGTTCTGCTATTGAAGGCGGGATAAAGAAGGAAAGAAAGAAAGACGGAGGAATTGCCAACATTTTTAGACATTTTTTCTTGGGCCCTTCCACATAGCCCTATATCCCAGAATATCAAGGTAGAAAATACCACATTTTCTGAATGTGGACTCAGAAAACCCAGTTCAAAGCAGATATTGTGGGTTTTTCTGCCTTGATATTCTGAGATAGAAGGCTGTGTGGAAAGGCACCCAGAATATCAAGGCAGAAAAGTCCACAATAGCTGCTTTGAACTGGGTTATCTGAGTCCACACTCAGGTAATGTGGGTTTTTCTGTCTTGATATGCTGGGATATAGGGCTGTGTGGAAGGGCCCCTTGGGATCCCAAGAAAGGTTTCCTTCGCACATTAAAAAAGTCTTAGTAGACTTATTTCAGGAATGGCTGCGAAGGGACCAGTTTCAAAAATAACTATCAAGCCGATATATGTACATTATATCTCAGGCTCCTTCAACACAGCTGAATAAAATCCCACATTACCTGCTTGGAACTGAAATATATGGCAGTGTGGACTCAGAGACCTCAGTGCAAAGCAGATATTGTGGGATTTTCTTCTCTGATATTCTGAGTTATGTGGTTATATGGAAGGGCCCAGATTCACGCACCCCATGTCCAAACTCCTCTAATTTAGTACCCTCCCACTTAGATCCTAAAACTGGGGTTTAGTTATGTTTTAGTTCACATTCAAAACCACTGCAAAACCATGTCTGTTTCATTTTAAGTAGCCATATATCTGAGGGCCCTTCCATACAGTCCTATATCCCAGAATATCAAGGCAGAAAATCCCACAATATCTGCTTTGAACTTGGATATCTGAGTCCACACTCAGATAATGTGGGATATTCTGGGATAGATGATAGCGTGGAAGGGCCCTGAGTGTTCAACATCTGACCGTGCTTACATTTTTCTCATTTAATTCCTCTTCTCTAAAAATACAAATAAAATACAAACAAAACCCCAAACTGGGTTTTATTTGTATTTTAGTTCACCCAGGCCCCTTCCACACAGCTGTATAAAATCTCACATGATCTCTTTTAAACTGGGATATATGACAGTACTGTGGGATTTTCTGCCTTAATATTCTGGGTTATATGGCTGTGTGGAGGGGCTCTCAGCCCGAGTTTCAAAACCACTATCAAAGCAGCTCATACCTGAGATTCAGTCCTCGAAGGTCCCAAAATTAAATGACTGCTCAATATTTGACCAAGTCCAAAGTTTTCTCATCGAATCTCTTCCCACGTAATATCTAAAACTTGGGTTTATTTATGTCTTAGATCTCCAGAAATCAATATCAAACAACACTCTAACCAACTTACCATATACACCTGAGACTCAGTCCTTACACATTCAAAAATTAAATGCATGTTGAACATCTGACCGTGCCCAAATTCCTCTCAGGCTGGATCTACACAGCCCTATATCCCAGGATCTGATGCAAATTTATCTGCTTTGAACCAGATTATACTACTCTACACAGATAGATAATCTGGGATCTGATCCTGGCATATAGGGCAGTGTAGATTCAGCCTCACTTAATGCATTTCCACCCAGTTTCCTTATATTTTAGATTACCAGGAACCAAGTTCAAAACCACTATAAGGCCAACTCTCTCTTTCTCTCCCAGATATATAGCTGAGAATCTGTCCTCACACATCCCAGAATTAAATGACTATTGGACATCCATATCCAAGCTCCTGTCAGGCTCCTTCCCCAGTTTCTTAAAGTGGATTTTGTTTATATTTTGATTCGCCAGTGGCCAGTTTCGAAACCACTGAGAATCAGAACTCACACACACTTCACAATTACTTGACTATTGAGCATCTGATTGTATCCAGACTCCTTTCACTAGATGCCTCTCCAACCAGGGCCCTTCCACACAGCCATATAACCCAGTACCAAAGCAGAAAATCCCATAATATCTGCTTTGAACGAGGTTATCTGAGTCCACACTGCCATATATCCCAGTTCAAAGCAGAAAATGTGGGATTTTCTTCCTTGATATTCTGGG